GAGGAGGCTGCCTCACGGCCCCTCTTCTGCTTCTTCTCAGGGGCTTTCTCCGCCCCCTTCAGAGGAACCGTCTTCGTCGGGACGGCCGGCGGTGGAAGGGCAGCTTCAAGAGCAGGGGCCCCGGAACCCTGAGCCAGCATAGTGGCAATCAGGTGCTGCTCACCCTCGGCAGTTCGCCGGGCAGCGTCAGAAGCCGAGAAGTTGGACTCCGAGGCGGGGGCATTCTTGGTTTTCGCCAGTGCGGCTTTAGCAGCGGCCGCTTTGGCCTTCCTTGTCTTCAAACACTCGGCGTGATTCATTTGGTCTCTATCGGGCGGTGAACCTGCAAGAAACAACAAGGATTAGAAGCCGAGCGGGAAGTAGAATAAGACACTCACCTCGAAGGACAGGACCGCCCGGGCCCCGAGACGAGCGTCGAAGGGTAGAAAAAGTCCAGGAACACGGGCGGTACCTATGCCTGCCCCAGAGAGTGCCTCGAAGGTCAGAAATCCGGCTATGGGACGGACGCCACCCTCCGACACCTTCTCCGCATCCAAAAGCAGATCGTCGGTCGGCTCCGGTGACTCAATCTTTGGGGGATACCCATTCCACCGGAGAGGGAGGGGAGGCCCGTCGTATCGAAGGAAGAAGAAGCGGTTCTTCCAGTCGTGGATGGACGAGGGGTAGTTCTTGAACAGCCGCCTCCCAGGACGTGCGGCCACGCTCAGATACCCGTCGGCATTCTGAGGAGTGACGCGGTAGAAATAATGGAAGAGCTCCAAAGTGGCATCGACCCACGCGAGTTTACAGCGCACCAAGAAGGCCGATATGAATCTGTAAGGATTTGGCATGAATTGCGCCGGAGCCACCTGGAAGCAGTGGAAGAACTCCACATAAAACGTATGAAGTGGAAACCGCAGCTCGGCTTCAACGGAATCCAGATGGAGCATGATCATCCCCGGACGTCTCCTCATCACATGCTCAGCGCCTTTCACACTCCAGACGAACGGCGGAGGAAGGAAGGTGCGGATTTTATTGAGGGCCACACGGGAGAGGACTTGGTCGTGGTCAAGGGCGCTCCTAATCGGGCAAATGTGACGCTCCATATCCGTGGGGATGCCCAGATCATACACCTCCATATCAGAACCGGATTCGGCTTCCTCTCTAGAATCATAATCAGCAGGACGCTCATTCAGGGGGACCGCATCAATAACGTCCACTGCCTCATCGGCATCCCCACCCCTGGCGTCACTCCCACTATCTTGGGACACATCATCCGGCTCGCCATCAGCCCGGATGGTCCCCACCGTCGTGGCCGAACCAGAGGTTCCGGAAACACTAGTTTTTCCCAGGGAGCGTGCATTGGCATTTTCAGAAGAGGAGCCCGAGGAGGAACCCGACGAACCGGAATCAGAACTTGAGGAAATCTCCATCGAAGTCATTCCGGCTAGAAATCAGAGTAAAGGAAAGAAGCAGAGGGGGGAAATTACCTTACAAAGGTATGGTTGGCCGAATTCAGGAAACTTGAAGAGCTGCGGAAAATCGAGAGCAAGAGAGCAGGAATTGGGAACCCTAATTCAGAGGGCAAACCCAGCATTTATAGGGGAAACACCGATGGAGAAACCAACGAGGGGCTGACACGTGGCAAGGAACGTATTCCGGCCCACGCGCTGTGCGTGGGATGGGAACGTAATGATGACACTTCCTCGGGAAAATGCGCCGCCACAACATCAGCCGTCACCTCGTTTCCTGAACCGTCAACAGCTGTCAAGCACCATGGCCACGAGCGTACGTTTCCGCCAAGATGCAATGAACACAAGTACCAAGATACGGACGTCTACTTCGGGGAGGTTCATACTTCCTTATGTCCTGCGCATGCTCAGAACATCAGAAGTGGGGGACTTGTGTTGGGTTAAGGGCCCAAGCCGAGGTCCGGCCCACTAACCCATTTTGCCAGACGAGCGTCCAGCTAGAAGCTAGGCCAGCCCACAGGCCCATGTTCTTTAAGGATGGACGAACGTCTGGTGTTGGAGGACCCAGGCCCAGCGGCTCCTTCCGACGAACGTCTATGCAGGGACAAGGAGCAGAGCCACGGGCCACCAGGGATGGCGACGAACGTCCCCAGAGCAAGCCTGTAGTCATCGGAGAAAACCCAGTGCACATGGTGAGTATCTATCAAGGCCAGGAGACGAACAGCCAATATCCCTCAAGGGTCACTTGGAGCAATCCAACTCACTTCCCGGGTGGACGAACGTCCCCACTGATCCGGCGGGAAACCTAGATTCTGGCGGGAAGTGCATTTAATGCTAAAGATTTGGTAGTTGGGACACCAGCGGTCCACAGGCTGCCACGTCAGTACAGCCACCTGCCCATTGGCGGGTATAAATAGAAGCATTTATTTCATTGTAAAGGGTTGGCAACTTTCTATTCTTAGCATATTAGCTTCAGCACTCTTACTTGCAGCCTTTCTAAGTGCCTTGTAAGACGAACGGCCGACGTGCCTTATTAGCAAGTAGATTGTATTTAGGGGAGTTATTACGAAGTTAATAATACCTACTTACATTGCCTGCTATCACTTTTGTTTCCTGATCCATCTCATAGTTGTTAGGCTAGATATCCACACACTCACTCCACTCGAAATCTTTGGGCTTACGTGTTGGGTCCAAGGGTTGAAGGAATAAACATCAACAAAAATTTATATGAAAAAATGCTATAATGATCATATACGGTAACTTCAGCCAATACGTACCATCGGAAAAGTAACTTTAACCTTACTTTTTAATTTCTCTTATTATTACACAATATATCGCGCGGAATCAAAAATTACGCGTGTAATGAAAAAGCTGATGATAAGCTTGATAAGTCAAAAAAACAAGATCACCAAATGAGCTCTGTATGTTTCAAGTTGTGAAATAAAAGAAATCACAAAGTTAATGATTTTTGTTGTTTCAGAATTTTGTAATAATATTAGTAATGTTAACATTACGAAGGGCATCACATTGCAACTAGGATCTCAAATGCTCAACACTGAATGAACCGAATAAAATGCCACTGCCAAAACCGAACTCAAAGTTTGAGTAGAGTAATAGAGTAATTTTACGTAACATATGAGTATTAGTTCTAACATTCTTCTACCAATTCAACTTTGATTAAAATGTCACTGTACCAACTACCAACAATTCCATCCATGCTTGTAAGAAAAACCCTACTTCATTCAAGATATCACTAGGGGAGGATCTATGTACGGGCTATGGTAGGCTGAAGCTCAGAGCAACTTAGAAATTTTTCAATTTTTTTAATGTAAATTTTTTAATTTTTCACATTTAACCCACTCCTCTAATATTTAAGCTTAGTATAATTCCTATTCAGCCTAGGGCATCTCAGATTCCTGGATCCGCCCTGGATATCACAATAGCACATTGTAATAATTCTTGGCATTTTATTAGAAAAATGCTAGTTAGGGGTTGATATGTAAAATTAACTTTTCATGATATGATAAAATCTCTTACCAAAATCTTGCCAAAAACACCCACCTTAATACCACTAATAATCAACTAAACTACAAGTAAAAGCGTTGGTCCATACTCTATATGAACCAGTTATATACATACACGTACAGGTTTAAATAGAAAACAATGTTTCAAACTCTACGTTTAAGATATTTATTTTAAAAGGTATTATGAAATAATTATACATCCTCCCAACAACACAACTCCGTGTTAATATATATAATCCGTATACCTCACCTACCTCCACGTTTGCCGACGCACAATTTTGACTATTATTATATTTAATTACATTGATAAAATCACAATGTTACAAGAATTAAAGAATACGAATTGGACTACAAATAGTGCAAAAATCACAATATTAGACTACGAATTGGATAGGGGCCGCGCGAACGCAGGCTCCCACTAACACAAATTATGACGTAGACTCCACCACTTGAGTAGATCTTAGAAAGATACCCTTCCAAAGTGCAATGGAAGTCATCAATCTAGGCCATGGGCCATCGACCCCGTCCAGGTAAGTATGTCATCCAGTAGCCCGAGGCCTCTTTTTATAAGCTCTGCTTCAGCTTGTGCTCGTACTGGTTTTTGGTGTGGGAAAATTTCATGCCTACTTGTTTCCTCCGTTCTATTGTTCTGTAAATATCCTTTCCCCTGTTCACTCTTTCCTTTTAGCCTTCTCCGCATTAATTAGAAAACGAGAGCAACCCATGTATGTTAGAAAAATGTTTGAGTTACATAAAATGTGTACACAAGATGTATATACATGTCTGTCCTTCACATAAATTTTGTCTGTCACAGACAACTCATTTAGACTGAATTTTGAGTTGTTTGTGACAAACAAAATTTCTGTGAAGGACAGACATGTGTACACATTTTGTGTACTCCTAGCAAAACTATGTATGTTATATGCATTCTGTTAATTTCTTTTCGGATTCATTTTTTTTCTTTCTTAAATCATATGGAGTATTAGAAGTACTCGTATTAATTAATTGTTCTTGCATTTGAAAGATACTCCTACAAGAATAACAATAATTCTTACTATACACAAAATTTATACACACTTAGCACACATTTGTACGTAATTATTTGTGTACACAGACGAATGTTGCACGAGTTAGCTGTGCACAAATGTAATTATCAGTGTGCACAAATAATTACATACAAATGTATACCAAGTGTGTATACAATTTTCCAAGAATAATAGTGATAGAACATCAAATTCTAAGGAGCATTCATGATCGAACACGTAACTTTTGCTTTTGCGTGCCGAATTGTGTATTGTACTATTGGTTGTATTGGTTGAAGTTACTTTTCTGATTGTATTGACTGAAGTTACAATAGATCATCATTTTAGCTATTTTTACATATAACTTTTTTCTTTATCTTATTAATAAAATACAAGTACTATCGTATATTTTAAAAATATTTTTTTCTTAAATCAATCAGCTAATGCAACCAGAACTTCATAAATCGTATCGTATCGTATCCTTTCACCCTAGATGCAAGGATGCAAGGATGCTCCGAGGTGGGAATGGAAGCTTCTGTGAGAACCAAAGCTATACTTCTTCATTTATTGGCAATCAAGTCATTCGTTCTATCCGCTTCTTCATCCGTTTCATCAGCAGATTTCTTGCTCATCGCATATTGAGCGATTTAAACACTACGAATATGCAATTTCCATGAACAGACATCGTAACGTCAAAATCTTCAATTTAGCTGTATTATCATCTTGCTTCCGCAAATCCGGTCTTCTGAAGGTAATCAAACGAATTAATTGCTCTTATTCTCTGTATTTTAGCTCCATGGCACCGCAAATGTCTCAGGGCTCAAGTGATTTTTCGAAGCTACGAGACCTTGAAAGCTGCTTTTTCAAGTGTCAAAAGCGGATCTTAAGAGTCCTTTTGGTAAAATTTACTCCGTATATCGATATGATTCTCTATTCAATACTTTGTTCATTTCATTTTTGGTAATATAGTTTTTTTGTTGTCACGTAGCCTCCTCCCTTTAACTTAAACAATATTTAATGTTTCGATTCCCTACCCAGATCATGTTTTACTCCAATTCACCTGTCCAAAGAAATACTTTTTGTTTATAATTTTGTTTTGAGAATATTATCCAAAATAGGACTAAAGGGCTGTCTTGTTTTTATTTCCAAAATAGGACTAATTACTGTCATGTTTTGGCAGTACCATACTTCAAACATGGCAGTATTTTCCAAACTTGGCAGTAATTACTCCTATTTTGGAAATAAAAAACATGACAATCCTATTTTGGAATTTTCAAATTGTTTTAGTCCTATTTCGGGAACTTTCCCTTTTGTTTTTGGACTGTTATAGTTAGTCCTGACTTATCATATATAGTTGGTAGCATTTCGAAGATATAGGACACATAATATTGTTATCTTAGTTTACTACCTCTCACTAGAATCAAATTCAAGTAAATGTTTCAATTTGTTCTTTTAAATAATCCGTCGCAAGAATGATTAAGAATAAATGACACCATTTTCTGGAATTTCACAAAAAATAGTATTATGTATCTCAATTTTAATGTCCCACAAATCATTATATTTTTCACATCAAATTTAATTCAATTGAAAATTGTTTATATCTATTCAAGAAAAAGTACTCTGTATATAATGATGATAAAGCATAAGTCTGTATATCGGTGTATCAGTTTTTGTACCACACTCATAGTGATGATTAAATTAAGTAAAGTTTAAGACTTAAAACTTAAAAGTATACTACGTAATAGCTTATAAATTGATAAAACCAATGGTACGATCTGTTGTGAGAAATGAAAATAGTTTTTTTTTTCTTCAAAAAATAAGAAAATAAAAATTTCTGAATGAACTCGACATATATAGAACTATCATAGATAGTTGGAGAGCAATGCTTTTCATTGATTGTGATGAAACGGTTAGCAACACAGGAGTGTGATGAATTGTGTGTGTGGAACCATGACAGTTTTTCGTCAAGTTCTAGTGTGGGGTATATGGTATTATTTGAAGATTTTCTCATAAATTTATATTTATTTATAGTTTAGGAAAGACATAACACATTTTCACATATCGGCACACCCCCCTGATTTGCCAGGCTACATCAACAATTCATCTAAATAATGCAATTCGTATAGATAAAGACATAACACATTTTCACATATCTGCACCCCCTGATTTGCCAGGTTACATCAGCAATTCATCTAAATAATACAATTCGTATAGATAAAGACATAACACATTTTCACATATCTGCACACCCTAATTTGCCAGGTTACATCAGCAATTCGTCTAAATAATGCAATTTGTATACCATTCTTTACATCAGGGTGTTCGAAGTGTTGAGCTACCATTCTTTACATTGAAACATTGATATGTAACCTGCAATGCTTTTCATTGATTGTGATGAAACGGTTAGCAACACAGGAGTGAGATGAATTGTGTGTGTGGAACCATGACAGTTTTTCGCCAAGTTCTAGTGTGAGGTATATGGTATTATTTGAAGATTTTCTCATAAATTTATATTTATTTACAGTTTAGGAAAGACATAACACATTTTCACATATCGGCACACCCCCCTGATTTGCCAGGCTACATCAGCAATTCGTCTAAATAATGCAATTCGTATAAATAAAGACATAACACATTTTCACATATCTGCACCCCCTGATTTGCCAGGTTACATCAGCAATTCGTCTAAATAATGCAATTCGTATAGATAAAGACATAACACATTTTCACATATCTGCACACCCTGATTTGCCAGGTTACATCAGCAATTCGTCTAAATAATTGCATTATTTAGACGAATTGCTGATGTAACCTGGCAAATCAGGGTGTGCAGATATGTGAAAATGTGTTATGTCTTTATCTATACGAATTGCATTATTTAGACGAATTGCTGATGTAACCTGGCAAATCAGGGGGTGCAGATATGTGAAAATGTGTTATGTCTTTATCTATACGAATTGCATTATTTAGACGAATTGCTGATGTAACCTGGCAAATCAGGGGGTGCAGATATGTGAAAATGTGTTATGTCTTTATCTATACGAATTGCATTATTTAGACGAATTGCTGATGTAACCTGGCAAATCAGGGGGTGCAGATATGTGAAAATGTGTTATGTCTTTATCTATACGAATTGCATTATTTAGACGAATTGCTGATGTAACCTGGCAAATCAGGGGGTGCAGATATGTGAAAATGTGTTATGTCTTTATCTATACGAATTGCATTATTTAGACGAATTGCTGATGTAACCTGGCAAATCAGGGGGTGCAGATATGTGAAAATGTGTTATGTCTTTATCTATACGAATTGCATTATTTAGACGAATTGCTGATGTAACCTGGCAAATCAGGGGGTGCAGATATGTGAAAATGTGTTATGTCTTTATCTATACGAATTGCATTATTTAGACGAATTGCTGATGTAACCTGGCAAATCAGGGGGTGCAGATATGTGAAAATGTGTTATGTCTTTATCTATACGAATTGCATTATTTAGATGAATTGTTGATGTAGCCTGGCAAATCAGGGGGGTGTGCCGATATGTGAAAATGTGTTATGTCTTTCCTAAACTATAAATAAATATAAATTTATGAGAAAATCTTCAAATAATACCATATACCCCACACTAGAACTTGGCGAAAAACTGTCATGGTTCCACACACACAATTCATCTCACTCCTGTGTTGCTCACCGTTTCATCACAATCAATGAAAAGCATTGCAGGTTACATATCAATGTTTCAACGTTACATCAGGGTGTTCGAAGGGTATACCATTCGTACAGGTTACATATCAATGTTTCAACTTTTCCACAACTTAATTAATTGAGCTACCCGTGCGGTAATTGAGTTCCATTCTATTGGGTAGTAAAGAATGGTAGCCACCTTCTTCAATTTCACCCTTATGATATACGAATTGCATTATTTAGACGAATTGTTGATGTAACCTGGCAAATGCACCTGTGGCGTGGCGAAGAAATTCGCCGATGATCGAGATGAAGAGCGGTTTCATCAATTTCTTATCGGAATTGATGACGAAGTGTTCGGAACAGTGCGCTCTAATTTGTTGTCTCAAACACCTTTGTCTGACTTGAACCGTGCTCATCAAGCCTTTCTTCAAGAAGAAAATTCCCGGGCGATTGCACGCGGGAAGATTGCTGCTGCGACGGACGTGCGGGCATTCGCACTCCAGGCTGACCGGGCCGGCAAAGGGCGGCCGGATAAATAGGAAAGAAACAGGCCCACGTGTGCTCATTGCAAACAGAAGGGCCATGAAATTACTACTTGTTTCAAGTTGCATAGATATCCCGATTGGTGGGAGGATCGGAATAAAAACAAAGGGGGGTAATTATGTGGCATGGTCACGCACATTCTCCTTGTCGTTGAAGGCACGCCGCAAGTACAGCTTCGTTGATGGAACTATTCCCGAATCCGAAGAGGCGGCGCGGAAACTGAATTGGGAAACCGCCAATTCTATGGTGGTTTCGTGGATTTTGCGAAGCATGGAACCGGTGGTGGCGGCGTCCATACCCTTCCACGAAGAAGCCCACTCGTCGTGGGTCTATTTGGAGAAGAGGTATAGCGTCGCTAACGGACCACGACTTCAGCAATTGAAAGCGTCAATTACATCATGTAAACAGTCCAAAACGATGAGCGTTGAGTCGTTGACAGATACTACACGACCTTGATGAGCTTGTATGACGAGCTGAACAGATTGAAGCCGCTGCACGTTTGTACATGCGGCCAATGCACCTGTGGCGTGGCGAAGAAATTCGCCGATGATCGAGATGAAGAGCGGTTTCATCAATTTCTTATCGGAATTGATGACGAAGTGTTCGGAACAGTGCGCTCTAATTTGTTGTCTCAAACACCTTTGTCTGACTTAAACCGTGCTCATCAAGCCTTTCTTCAAGAAGAAAATTCCCGGGCGATTGCACGCGGGAAGATTGCTGCTGCGACGGACGTGCGGGCATTCGCACTCCAGGCTGACCGGGCCGGCAAAGGGCGGCCGGATAAATAGGAAAGAAACAGGCCCACGTGTGCTCATTGCAAACAGAAGGGCCATGAAATTACTACTTGTTTCAAGTTGCATAGATATCCCGATTGGTGGGAGGATCCAACTTCACCATACTATCTTAGTTCCGGAGATCAACCCGGTAACCTCATTACACATGTTATGTTTAAGGGGGGTAATTATGTGGCATGGTCACTCACATTCTCCTTGTCGTTGAAGGCACGCCGCAAGTACAGCTTCGTTGATGGAACTATTCCCGAACCCGAAGAGGCGGCGCGGAAACTGAATTGGGAAACCGCCAATTCTATGGTGGTTTCGTGGATTTTGCGAAGCATGGAACCGGTGGTGGCGGCGTCCATACCCTTCCACGAAGAAGCCCACTCGTCGTGGGTCTATTTGGAGAAGAGGTATAGCGTCGCTAACGGACCACGACTTCAACAATTGAAAGCGTCAATTACATCATGTAAACAGTCCAAAACGATGAGCGTTGAGTCGTTGACAGATACTACACGACCTTGATGAGCTTGTATGACGAGCTGAACAGATTGAAGCCGCTGCACGTTTGTACATGCGGCCAATGCACCTGTGGCGTGGCGAAGAAATTCGCCGATGATCGAGATGAAGAGCGGTTTCATCAATTTCTTATCGGAATTGATGACGAAGTGTTCGGAACAGTGCGCTCTAATTTGTTGTCTCAAACACCTTTGTCTGACTTGAACCGTGCTCATCAAGCCTTTCTTCAAGAAGAAAATTCCCGGGCGATTGCACGCGGGAAGATTGCTGCTGCGACGGACGTGCGGGCATTCGCACTCCAGGCTGACCGGGCCGGCAAAGGGCGGCCGGATAAATAGGAAAGAAACAGGCCCACGTGTGCTCATTGCAAACAGAAGGGCCATGAAATTAATACTTGTTTCAAGTTGCATAGATATCCCGATTGGTGGGAGGATCGAAGAGTTATGTTTCTCTACCTTGCAGGTGTCTACACTTAGGCAATCCTCAAAACTCAATTACAATATGAAGAAGGAAAAGAAACCATATCTAGAACTCATGTTCAGCAGGTTTAGTTTGCTTAGACTTAAAAATTCTTTCGTGTATATCTCTCAATGATAGCTCAGTCAAGCACACCCTTCTTTTTCTTGATCTCGGCATATATAAACTTTTTTGAGGCAGTCCATTTTGGCTTCCTTCCTTGAATGATTGAGCTTCAATCTTGGAACTTGCCTTGTTATAATTTGAAAAATCTTGAATAGCATTTTTCATATTTAGTGCGTATGCGACTATTGATTTTTAGTAAAGCAAATATGCTTCACTTAGGCACTACTATTGATTTATGTAGGACGTGAATATATTGTGATTAATGGAGGATTTTTATTTCAAATATTCTTTTTACTTATAAAATATGGCATACAGCCCATTTAGAAAAAGTCGGAAACCCATTTAGAAAAAGTTGGAAATTAAGTTAAATAGTATTCTGCATCTCAATTTTAATGTCCCACAAATCATTATATTTTTCACATCAAATTTAATTCAATTGAAAATTGTTTAATTGATATATAGATTTTTTTTAAATATTTCTTGATATACAAAACCAATTAAGTTTTTATCTATTCAAGAAAAAGTACTCCGTATTTTATTTCTATAGATAAAGTATAAGTTTGTATATCGGTGTATCAGTTTGTGTACCACACAGTCCACACTCATAGGGATGATTAAATTAAGTAAAGTTTAGGACTATGATTAAGTAAAGTTTAGGACTTAAAACTTATAAGTATACTACTCTGTTGTGAGAAATGAGATAAGAAATTAGAAATAGCCGAATGAACTAGACATAGAACTATCATAGATAGACACAGTCAAAGTTTGTGTAATGCACAATGTCATTAAAACTAATTCACTGTCTCTCACGATGTTAGGAGTGTTCTAACGCCATTTTCCTATAGTACGAAGACTAAATAACAACCGTACTAAACATGCCCAATGTTATATTTAAAATGTATGTCAAGTTTAAATGATCTTACATCTATCTAATAATAATAAAATAATTAATCTTATAATGGTCGATGAAGGTTAGGGTCTATTTGGCATAAAAAATGTTGATGGAACTTTATAGCAATAAGTAATTGTACATTACATGTTACACTTTGTACTCTCCTATTATCTCTTTTTTTTTTATCTCCCCTGTTAAATTAAGGAATGAAGATGTTCTTCCTCCCAACCTCCGTTAATGTATTCTATTTGAAATTTCTTTATCCAAATAACTCTTGGAATATTTTTTAGTCCAAAAATAATTGTTAATACATTAATAAAAAGCATAATAACACTCGATATCATTCAGTAGTGCAAGCTAAAAGCTTTTGAGTGATATACTGAGATTAATATTGGTTCATTAGTACACTTTTAGAAGTATGTGCAAATACATTGATATTTCTTTGTCCAAAAAATAAACTTTTGTGATTTACTTTACACAAAAGAATGTGCTTTTAGGTATAACATGTGCCTAATAAAGTATTGATACATTTTTACTTATTAAAGTGAAATCGATTACACTAATCAATGATTAGACACAAAATGTTCTATAGTATAAATTATTGAAGCATTTATTTAGTGGCATCTTGTTAGGCCCGTATGTATATTAATTATTTAGTGGGCTAAGGGCTTAATTTTGTTGTATTAGTTTAGCCGTGTTTGTGTATATACAGTGGCACTCTTATATAGAATTAACACAAGTTTTTACCCTAATTAATTCTAATTTCATAGCATGGTATCAGAGCCCCTGAGGAGGGCTGCGTAACCGACTGCTACTGCCGAAAATCGCACCAGCGTGCGCAGTGCCGGCAGCCATGACGGATCCAACTTCACCATACTATCTTAGTTCCGGAGATCAACCCGGTAACCTCATTACACATGTTATCTTTAAGGGGGGTAATTATGTGGCATGGTCACGCACATTCTCCTTGTCGTTGAAGGCACGCCGCAAGTACAGCTTCGTTGATGGAACTATTCCCGAACCCGAAGAGGCGGCGCGGAAACTGAATTGGGAAACCGCCAATTCTATGGTGGTTTCGTGGATTTTGCGAAGCATGGAACCGGTGGTGGCGGCGTCCATACCCTTCCACGAAGAAGCCCACTCGTCGTGGGTCTATTTGGAGAAGAGGTATAGCGTCGCTAACGGACCACGACTTCAGCAATTGAAAGCGTCAATTACATCATGTAAACAGTCCAAAACGATGAGCGTTGAGTCGTTGACAGATACTACACGACCTTGATGAGCTTGTATGACGAGCTGAACAGATTGAAGCCGCTGCACGTTTGTACATGCGGCCAATGCACCTGTGGCGTGGCGAAGAAATTCGCCGATGATCGAGATGAAGAGCGGTTTCATCAATTTCTTATCGGAATTGATGACGAAGTGTTCGGAACAGTGCGCTCTAATTTGTTGTCTCAAACACCTTTGTCTGACTTGAACCGTGCTCATCAAGCCTTTCTTCAAGAAGAAAATTCCCGGGCGATTGCACGCGGGAAGATTGCTGCTGCGACGGACGTGCGAGCATTCGCACTCCAGGCTGACCGGGCCGGCAAAGGGCGGCCGGATAAATAGGAAAGAAACGGGCCCACGTGTGCTCATTGCAAACAGAAGGGCCATGAAATTACTACTTGTTTCAAGTTGCATAGATATCCCGATTGGTGGGAGGATCGGAATAAAAACAAAGGTGCTGCCGGCGGGTCAACCGGCAGTCATGGGGGGTGGGGGTGGGGGGGTACGAACCCATGCAATTTCACCAAATTTGCAACCAGCAGGTGATGGTGGTACGTCCTCCTCTAGTGGTGGTCCGAATGGTTTAGCTACGTTGAGCAACGAGCAGGCTCACACTCTCTTAAACTTAGTTAATGCTGACACCCGCTCTTGTGACCGAATGTCGGGTAAGAATACTTCACGTAATTGGATTATTGACAACAGGGCATCTCATCATGTCACATGTGATTTTAATTGTCTTGTTGATCCCACACGTATTGTGGCATGTCCGGTTGGGCTTCCCGATGGCAGGACGGTTGCTGCTATTCTACAGGGCCATGTTCCTTTATCTCAAAATATTGTATTGGACCGTGTACTATATGTACCGGCCCTCACTTGTCACCTTATATCTGTGTCTCAATTGACTGATCAGTCGTCTTGCCTTGTCACTTTTACTAATAAATTTTGTGCTATACAGGAACTACACCCGAGAAACCTGATTGGAGCCGGTGAAGACAAGATGGGTTGTTTTATTTCAAGGGGTGCCTGCGCTGCATGCTGTACAACCCTCTTCATCATTGCCGGAGTTTGATTTATGGCATCGTCGGCTGGGTCATCCCTTAGACCGGGTTTTGAAATTATTGCCTAGTATTATTTCTAGTACTTCTCAAGAGAAATTAAATAAAGCCTGTGAAGTGTGTCCACAGGCCAAACGTGTTCGTGATTCTTTCCCTTTGAGTACTAATAAAGCTAGTAGAATTCTTGAATTGATTCATTGTGATTTGTGGGGCCCCTATCAGACCCCATCCATAGTCCACTTGCGATGCAATTTATTTCCTTACATTGGTTGATGATTATTTGCGGGCTGTATGGGTTTATTTGCTTTGTGATAAGAAGGAGGTTCATAAATATTTCATGCCTTATCTGGCTATGGTTGAAAAACAGTTCATTGTGTCTGTTAAAATTGTGCGCAGTGATAATGAAACAGAATTTCGGTGCATGATACCTCATTTTGATGCGCACGGGATTCTGTTCCAAACATCGTGCGTTCACCCCAGCAAAATGGGAGAGTGGAGCGGAAACATCGTCACATTTTGAATGTTGCCTGGACTTTGATGTTTCAAGTCAATCTTCCCATTCGGTTGTGGGGCGAATGTGTGCTGGCAGCGGTTCATCTCATCAATCGGATACCGTCCGGATTACCGGCAAGAAAAACACCCTATGAAATGCTCACGGGTAAAGCGCCCCATTTTTTATTTGGTTGTCTTTCTTTCACGCATAATGTTAAATCTAAAGGAAATAAATATTCTCCACGAAGTAGACGCAGCACATCCCGATGCTTTGGATGCTTTATAATAAATATAATAAATAAAGAGAAACACTTTAGACTGTCCTATATATGTCTCTTACGCACTTAGGGAGTGTTTGCAACTGCTTCTGCTTAAAAAAAGCATTTTTGAAGATGTAAGGAAAAAGTGATTAGTAGTAAAAGTTGATAGTGTTTGAGAAAAAAGTGATTTTGAAAAGTAAAAGTTGAAAGTGTTTGGTAAAATAAGTGTTTTTTGTGTAATAGAAAAGGGAAAAACACTTTTCACACGCAAGCCGAGAAAAAGTAAAAATTGGTAGTGTTTGGTAAATAAGTGTTTTTTAAAGCCAAAAGCTGAGAAGTGCTTTTTTTAAGCTGTTGCAAACACTCCCTTAAGGTAAGTAGGAATTCTATCATGAAAAATTCAATGGTGATACCAAATTTGTGTCAAATCGGAGAAGTTATAATTACACGAGAATTATACAATCACGAGTACATTTGCACCGATGATATCGTTTCTTTATCACACAGGTTCTCACAAAATAGGGGTGGGCGAATCGGTTTACGGTTCGGTTTTTATCGGTTTCGGTTCGGTTTCGGTTTATTCGGTTTGAGGAAAATAGTACCAAACTCAAACCAAAAGAATTTCGGTTTGGTTTCGGTTCGGTTTGGGAAAAATTCGGTTCGGTTCGGTTTGGTATTCGGTTTGATGTTCGGTTTATAAACTTGAAAATGATTATGTCTTGTTTCATATGTTACAATCCACTTTGAGTAAATGAGTAATTTTGAATGTTTTGTTTTCATTGAAATTCCAACTAAATGAAATACTAGAACCAGCCTTCACCAAATCAATTGAACAACCTGCCTTCACCTGCTTAAACAACCTGCCAATTGAAATTCCAACTAAATGAAATACTAGAACCTAACTTAAACAACCTGCCTTCACCTGCTAAACCAATTGAAACAAACTAAACCAAAGACTCACACAGAAATAGAAATAGAAATAGAAATATAAATACAATTTGCTATTGATATCGCCAACCATAATAAATACAAATATGTCGTATTAGCTAACTTTGTCATAATGAATGTTTGAAATGTGTAAAAGTTAAAATAATACGAGTATATGCTTAAATATGCATTTTCATGTCTAAATTTTTTATTTATATCTTAAAATGAAGAGTGAAGATAAATACAAAGTGTGTGTGTGTGTTGTTCGGTTCGGTTCGGTTTTGTTCGGTTTTGTTCGGTTTTTATCGGTTTCGGTTTCGGTTCGGTTCGGTTTAATACGGTTTGAAAGAAATAGTACCAAACTAAAACCAAATTGCATACGGTTCGGTTTCGGTTCGGTTTAGTTCGGTTTGGTACGGTTCGGTTCGGTTAAACCAAACCGTTATGCCCACCCCTATCACAAAATGTATCGAAAACATGATCATATCTGGTTATGGCAGCTTGGGCTCATGAAATATTGATGGAATAAGTGAATTGTTATTATTCTAAAAACCAAACAAAACAATGAAATACGGTTGTTGAATCCGATCCATGAATATGAGGTGAACGAAGGTAAGAGTACATGAATTACATCCATAAACGTATTAAATTGATAAAATTGCAAGGAGGAAAAGAAATAGATGATAAATACAAAAACAACTCACAAGATATTGAAAAAAATACTCCTATGAAGTAGTACACATGATAAAAACATCATAAACTATACTAATTTAACTATACTAATTTTATCTATTCAGGACATAGATTAATTTATCAATTCAGAACCCGAAAGATGAAACGTATCGATATATGACTCGAATGATGGAAAACTATCAATTTAGGACCTAATTTTTCATAGGTTTTGATTTATTTAATTTTTTATTAATTCCATTACTACTTTTTGGTAAACTTTTTCTTCACAAAAGTTTATTAGTTTAATAAACTAAATAATATTTAAAATTTTAAAATAATATAAAAATAAAAAAATTATGAAAACTTAGGTCCTAGATTGTTAGTTTTCAATTATTCAGGGTTCTAAATTGATAGTTTTTCATAATTCGAATCCTATAACGATGCATTTCATATAAGAGAAATCGAGTTAAGTAATTGTCTAAATGGGAGATTTTTGCCTTTTCAAATTATGTGTGTGTGTATAATTACAAATGGCAATAAAAAGAAACATAATGATGAAACCTGAAGTCCTGAACTATAAAACACACGAAAATTTTACTAAGCACGTTGCGTGCTCTTTACCGAGCACGTCATACGGCTCATATATATGGGCATACAGCTCATATGGGCTTACGGCTCACTATAATTTAGGTTTTATAATAATAGTAGAATACGCCTATTCGCCACTTCATAAATCTTAAACAAATAACATCAACTTTTTTTAGTGTTTTATTTTCAAAGTACATGTAAAGATTAATATTTTATTTAGTTTTTTTTAAAAAAATTAAATAATTAATTCAATTAATTCCTAATCCTATACTCCCTCGTTTCATAAATCTTGGTCATAATAATTTTGTTTATTTAATGATGGCCAAATTTCACTCATGATTTTTTAGAACAAAATTATTTAAAGTATGAAAATTATATGAGATTTTTTCTTTTTTTCTTTTTCTTTTTTTTTGAAAAAACCGTCAGATTTTATTGAAGTAAGGTAACAGGATTACAAGATATTACAATAGACAGAAACAAAGAGGACAAATGAAAGGCTAAATGAGCAATAAAGAGCCAACTAAGGGAGGGGGTTGGGTCCCTCTTTGGTCTGCGGCCCAAGAGAGCAAGTCCAAATTAGGGGTGACCCAGTCTAATTGACAAGCTAATCCATCCAAAGGAATATTGGTCGTTCAGTAGGGTTGCCGCACCAAACGAATCACATGGAGGTGAACTGCGTAAGAATTCTTCCGCCGCTCCTGAGGTAATTGCTTCCATTCGGTCCTGTTCTTCGTTTTTCCTGCGTTATCAGCCGGTGTCTCTAAACAGATGAGGTCCCCTTTTATCTTCCAGGTAGGATTTTTTCGCCCTTGTGGGAAGTGTGTTTGCGGTGAAGAAGATCGGGCAAATGTTAGGGTTTCCGAGTCCCGTTTTTGCCAGATGATGGGCCACAAAGTTAGCCTGACGAGGGCGATGAACAATATTGATGTTGTTTCTACTCCGCAGAGCATTGAGAGTGGCTACCTCTTCTCTTAAATAATCCGGTATTTTCAACGATCCTCTAATCATTTTTATGCTTATTTATGAGTCTGTTTGTGTTTGGAACTGCCTGTAACCCTTGTGTATCATGATTTGTATTGAGGTTCGGAGCGATGTGATCTCTGCGTGGAGGGCGTTTCGTGCTGTGATGCGGAAAGATAGTGCCTGTAGGAGAGTTCCAGAGCCATCCCTAAGTATACCGCCACCTGCCGCCTTCATTCCGGTGAAAGATGCGTCGCAGTTGAGGGTAAGTTCATTGCTCTGTGCTGTGTGCCACCTTATGAGGTGTTTGGGGACAATTTTTAGGTGTTTGATGTATGGCACTAACCCGTCGGAGTGAAGTTCTGGGTCGAACTGAAACCCTTTTTTGTTGGCGTTACAGTAAACCCAGTCTCTAGTGTAGGTTTTGATTTCTTTGATGATGAGGTCCCTTGAAAATTGTTTGTTTTCCTGCACACATGAATTGAATGCTTTCCATATATTCCAAAGGATAATGCCTGGCATTGCTTGGCGAATAGTGTTCTGAGTTGTAGAACTTTTACCACCAAGCCACCATAGGATCATATTTTGCCTTAATTCTTCATTGGCTGTCAACCTAACCTGCAAAATAGAAGAAAAGTAGACCCAAATGGGTCTAATTAGGGGGCAATTGAGTAGGCAGTGGTTCATGGATTCCTGGTTTTTGCAGCAGAATGGGCATCTTGTGGCTAGGCTGATTCTGAAACGGTATAAATTTTCTGGAAAGAGAAGGAGGTGGTTTGTGGTTTTCCATAAAAAAAATTTTAATTTGAGTTGCAGCCGAGATGCCCAGATGTGAGTTGAACTGAAGGTGATGGGGTAGTGTTTGCGGGTAAGGTTGTAGGCACTGGTTAATGAAAAATTCATGTCTTTTTCTGGCATCCACAAAGCAGCCCCCTCTGTGATTTGTATATGATCCTTATATTTGTTTTCGATGCGGCACATCAGTTTCCAAATTGGTGGGTCTTTAGGCTTATAGATCATTTGATTTGCCCTTGTATATCTGTCCATCATGAGCCTTGACCATTCTGTTTTGTTGTTTTTGAGGTGCCACCACATTTTCAGATGATGAGCCTCTTGAAGATGTGTCAGCGACCTGATATCCAACCCCCCTTCTGCCCCTGGTCTGCACAGGTAATCCCATTTCATCCAGTGGTGTCGTTGTTTGTTATTGCTTGATCCCTAGAAAATTTTTGCCATCAATCGGTTTACAATTTGGATTACTTTAACTGGGAGTTTTGTGGTAGCTAGATGATGCAAAGGAATAGTAGTTAGAACATGTTTGATCAATATTAACCTACCACTCTGATTCAGTTGCTTCTTGTTCCAGTTCCGG